GGCGACCCCAATACGACACTGGCGGCCATGCCATCCTGATTACACAGCATAGTGAACTGCAGTTCTACCTCTCTCTGAACAACCAACAGTTGCCCATCGAGTCGCAGATGATCCAGTGCCTGCCCGACATGCTCAACGCAGAAATCGTACTTGGTCAGCTATGGGGACACGCTTATGCACACTATGACGAACAGAACGAATGTCTGCTCGTTGATTTTGACTACTGTTCCTATTTGTCACGGGGGCGGGGAGGGAAGCGATGTTTGCTGGCTGCCTAGTAAATTAAAGTTTGTGCAGGGGACGCAGCAGCAGGCTGGGGACGCGACACTGAATGTCTATCATCTATAACGTTTGAAAGATGGGTATTTCTTGCTGGTGTTTGCGTGTGTGTATCAGGATCTGTAAGAAGCAGGGAAGACGCCGTGCACTGGCTGGGCTATACCTACTTGTACGTNTGTGTGTATCAGGATCTGTAAGAAGCAGGGAAGACGCCGTGCACTGGCTGGGCTATACCTACTTGTACGTGAGGATGCTCAAGTCACCCTCGCTATACGGTATACCACCAGACATGGTAGCTGGTGACAAGCTTCTTGAGCAGTATTGCATTAACTTGGCGGATTCCGCTCTCAAGACATTGGATAGACACTTCCTCATCAAATACGATAAGAGGACTGGGACCATCCACGTTACAGCAATGGGGAGAGTGGCAAGCCACTACTATATCAAGCACGCAACCATTGCAGTGTACAATGAACATCTGAAGCCGACTCTCTCAGACATCGAACTACTGCGTCTGTTCTCGCTTTCATCCGAGTTTAAATACATGCCCGTCAGGGAGGAAGAGAAACTAGAACTGCAGAAACTGATGGAGAGAGTTCCCATCCCCGTGAAGGGTTCCCCCGATGAGCCATCTTCTAAGGTCAACGTCTTACTACAGGCTTACATTAGCAAGCTGAAGCTTGAAGGGTTTGCTATGATGGCAGATATGGTGTATGTTCAACAAAGCGCAAACAGAATCATGCGTGCTATATTCGATATCTGCTTGAGAAGAGGATGGGCACAGCTTGCTATANAAGCGCAAACAGAATCATGCGTGCTATATTCGATATCTGCTTGAGAAGAGGATGGGCACAGCTTGCTATACGGGCCCTACAACTCTGCAACGAGATCCAGGGTCGCATGTGGAGCACCATGACCCCCCTGCGTCAATTCAAAGTCAGTTATCCTTCATTTTCTTCTTCTATCTGTAAATGCTCGAAATTCATCAGTATTACGTGCAAAGGTATTAGTGCATGGCTTGCTGGATTGGCGCCCCGATGTCGCCATCCTTGTTTGTAGTAAATGGAGTAGTCTCCTCTCAGTTGTCATGTTTAACATGAATAGTAATGCGTTCTTTTGCATTAGTAGTACTGCTTCAAATAGGTAATTTAACACGTTCTGTGCTGGCCATGTTTCCCCTAACTGGACTGAAACAAACGTACTTCTGCACCCGATTCTTCCGTTGCACTTCTCCTTTTCACGTGATTGGTTGCGTGGTGCAGATATGTTGCGTGCTTCGCACTTGGACCCCGATTTAGGTTTGGTCGTATAGATGCACTGTTGCGTTTCTTCTGGTTTGTGTTACAGGTTCTGCCTGAGGAGTTGCTGCGCAAAATCGAGAAGAAAGACTTGCCTTTCGACCGCTACTATGACTTGACATCAACTGAAATAGGCGAGCTCGTGAGAGTGCCGAAGATGGGAAAGCTACTTCACCGCCTGATTCACTCTTTCCCGAAACTGGAGCTTGCAGCGTTTGTGCAGCCACTTAGCCGGTCTTGCCTTGTTGTTGAGCTGACCATTACCCCAGATTTCCAGTGGGACCCGAAGATCCACGGCAACGGCGAGGTCTTCTGGATCATTGTGCACGACGTCGACTGCGAGCAGATTCTCCATCATGAGGTCAGTCGATGTTGCTCCTATGCACATTGCAGCTAAACAGCACTTCAGCGCATCGTGTATGTTGTTGTTCAACAGCTCGCCCCGGTGCTTGAGTCAGCGACTCTAGGAAGTATCTCTGCTGCTGAATCTTCGTATTGCGTGGATTCTTCTCGGTGTCTGCGCAGATGTTCATATTACCAGCGTTCCAAGGAGAAGTTGAACATACGCTAACTTTCACGCTGCCTGTGACCGACCCGATTCCTCCCAGTTACAGCATCCGCGCCATTTCAGATCGCTGGCTTCACTCCACGGCGTCATTGCCCATCTCCTTCAGAAACCTCATCTTGCCAGAGAAACCCATGCCTCACGCAGAGCTGCTCGATTTGCAGCCACTGCCTGTCTCGTCTCTGCACGATAAGAAGGCGGAGGAACTGTACAAGAAGGAAGGCATTAAGGCGTTTAACCCCATTCAAACACAGGTAACAATTGATTAGCTTCACAGCAGCATTACTTCTTTTCTGCGTCTCACGAGGTGGCTGGCTGGCTAACTGTTGGCTGATAGCCGCCGGAAACTAAGGCCTGTTGGGCCGTTTGTGGAGTTTCACGTGTTCGAGCTTTTCATTTTTTCCTAGAGATAAAAAGCGCATATATTCAATATTCTTGTGCGTTCAGGTCTTCTCCACCTTGTACTCGACAAGCGAGCCTGTGCTGCTGTGCTTGCCGCCTACTAGCGGCAAGGAGATCTGCATAGAGTTTGCCATTCTACGGATGCTCAAGACAGAGCCTGCCAGCGCTTGGAAGGCAGTATACCTTGCACCTTATTCATCTGTAGTACAGGAAACGCTGAGACAGTGGAGCTCCAAACTGGGCAATGGCCTAGGGCTTAAAATTGCAGAACTCACGGGTGATCTGCACGCGGACCTGAAGGTACTTTTTTTTTTTTTTTCACTAAGGGGCTGCGCAAGATAAAGCTCCAATAGAATACCCCTGAGAACTCTTCAGGGAAACCTAACAAAGGGGCTTGCAGCTTGGAATGTTGTCGTAGCCTAGGTGGATGCGTGCAGAGCCATGCGGCATTTCTAGTTGCTTGCTGTATGTAGAAGTCGAGGGTGATGCTGCATGCGACAACAACGTCTGAATGTGCTTGTGAGGTGAATGCTTATGCAGATTTTGGAGCAATCACATATCGTGGTGTCTACACCCGACAAGTGGGATTTCTTATCTCGTCGGTGGAAGACTCGCAAAGTGTTGCAGTCGATCCGCCTATTGGTTGTCGACGATCTGCATCTTCTCAACTCTCCAGTAGGCTCTACTCTGGAGGTATGCCTTTCAAGGATGCGATACATCTCCGCGCAGCTGCCTCAGCCCGTCCGCATCGTTGCCTGCGCCAATTCCCTCTCGAATGCCAAGGACGTCGCAGATTGGCTTGGGGTATCCGCTACCGGTGAGCACCACTATACAACCGCCACAAAAAAAAAAGAATTTATGTGTCAACGGGGTGCAGACAGATCACGTTCGTTGAAAGGCTGAACTTGCTAGGATCTCTCATATAAACA